GTGGGAAAAGTACTGGTGGAAGGAATGACTGAAAGAGATAGTTTACTGGCCTGAATCAACAAGCATTTAACGGAATTTCCATAGTACTACTCTTGTTTTTAATCACTGGCACCCTAGTAAAGCACAGGTAAAGCATGTGGCTGCTAACTGAAAGGTCAGTGGTTTGAACTCACCAGCCACTCCAGGGATGTCTGTATCTGTAAAGATTTATAGGCTTAGACACCCTGTGGACAGTAGGTTCGACTTCAGCGCAGTGGTGGTGTTTTGTCTTGTACATTTGTGTCTTTGCATTTTCAATCATTAATTTGACAAATTCCTATTATGTGCCAAATATTAAATTGGAGGCTAGATTTTTATTAAATTAGCATGAATTGTATAATTTGATCTAATTAAAACTCACTTAGCACTGAAAAGTAAATCTGGTGTGAATAAAAGGAAAATTGTCAACATGAAAGAAAACTGAAGAGTATTGCAAAATACAAAGGGAGATTTTCTCTCAAAATATTGATACTCAAACTCATTGCTGTTGAGCTGTAACTGACTTATAGATGACCCTGCAATGGGTTTTCAGGAAGCTGTCAATCACATGAGAGGAGACAGCCCATTTTTATCTTCTGGTGCCATTGTTAAGATTCAAACCACTATTGAAGTGCCTCTTTTAGGTCAGTAACATAACTCCCTATGGACTATATCACCAAATATCACTATCATTCTGGCATAGTATCTCAAGGAAACACTGATTTGAATATCCTACTACTTGCACGTGGTCTCAAAAGCCTAGATGTGCTCAGCCTTGCCCAATTTATAAGGGGCATATCTTTCTACTTTTTTCTCCTCTCCAAGGGTTTTTTTCTTTTAAATTTTAAATTGTTTTGCTCACAAAGTTCATATACATTGTGTTTCACACTATTCTTCATTCATATTGTGTTTTATACCATCATTCCCACACATTTTGTTTTACAAAATCAATCACCACTGGACCCTGCCCATCATTACCCAATCTTTTCACATTTCTGCTAAATCCTTCCCATTTCCTTCACTCCCTCCAGTCACCAAACTGTGTAACCCCTACTCATCCTCACCTCTCTTTTCCCACCCTTTCTCCCATTGGGTCCCCATACATGTTTTACTACTTATCCTTCTATTTTTACAATAATGGTTCCTATGCAGTATTTGTCCTTATGAGATTGAGTTAGTTCACTGAGCATTATGTTCTCCAGTCTCTCCCAAGTTATGTATTTTTTTTAATAGTTGATTTTTTGAGTGTTGCATAGTATTCCATTTGTGAAAGCATCACAATTTCTCAATCCATTCAATTGGAGTTGGACATGTGGGCTGTTTTGATGTTCTTGTGATGGTGAATATGCTGCTATGAACACTGGTGTACAGATTTCTGCTTTTGTCTCAGTTCTAATTTCCTTAGGGTATATTCCTAGTAGTGAAATAGCTGGGTCATACAGAATTTCTATGTTCAACTTCTGAGGAAGTGTCAAACTGTCTTCCAGACTGGTTGTAGCATTTACAATCCCACCAACAGTGTATGAGTGTTCCTACCTCTCTACAACCTCTCCAACATTTCTTTCTTTCTGACCTGCTAAACTTTGCCATTGCATTGTGGTTTTTTATTTACATCTCTCATATTTCCAGTCATTTTGGGCATTTCTTCATGTGTCTGTTAGCCATGTGAATGTTTTCCTTTGCAAACAGTTTTTCCAAGTCTTTTGGATTGCTACATGCAGAAAGCTAAAACAAGACCCACATCTCACACCACACACAAAAATCAACTCAAGGTGAATTAAAACCTGAGAGTAAAGCCCACAACCATAAAGTTCATAAAAGGCAAACTGGATTCAAGCTTAGGCCTGTCTATGGTATAAAAAGACTGCCAAATATAGCCAGAAATGCACAATCTGTAGAGGATAAAACTGATGAATAAAGCCTTCTAAAGATGAAAGCAAACTCTATAGGGAAAAAATCCTTCCTTAAGGAGAATGTTTTGGGGTATAATAAAATAAGAAAGGGAAACAGAGATATTAGAAAGTTGGCACACTTGCTTCCATTGCTATAGAATGAGAATCACTCTCTTTTACTGACCATCTACTTTTCCAGGCATGATGTCATTCTCCACAGACTAGTCCCTCCAGATAACATGTCTAAAATACATGAGATTAAATCTCGTCATCCTTGGTTCTAAGGAACACTCTGGCTGCATTTCTTATGAGACATATTTTTTCTAATTTTTGTAGTCCATGAGATATTCAATATTCTTCACCAATACCACAATTCATAGGTATCTGTTTAACCACCTAATCCTACCAAAACTACATTTCCAAATAATTATGCCTAAATTTAAAAAAAAAAAAAAAGCTAAAAAAGGGATGTTGATCAAGAATTCTGAGACCAAAGTTGCTGCAATAACAGACACAACAAAAGTACTAAATCAAGTTGAGGTGCTGCAGGGCCACAGACAAACTTGAATTTCATGGGAGGTTTGGTGGATGGGAGCACAGAAAGGAGTGTGGTGGTAAGGACAAAATGTCAATACTTTAACAAACTAAATTATTTCATATTTATGAATTTATTTTAAACATCTATATTTTGGCCTACTTATTATAGGCACAAAACATTTTTTGTAACTACAAACTATTGATAAATTAATGTTAGATTATTAAAATTAGTTTATTTTAAAATTTTCACAGCAAATTGTGCTTATTATTTCTAGGCACACTGCACTTTTTTCTGTATGAAGAAAAGAAAAAACATGAAATAACAGTACTTAATTAAGAAAGTCTGTTAGAAAACTGACATTTGCATTAATTTTGGAGGGAAATTCATTTCCTTTCACCAAAGAGAAAAGTGTAAAGAATATATGCGAAGTGAAAAAATAATGGGCAACTAAGTCACTTCCCACTTCTCTTAGTAAGGTCCAATGTTAATGGAAATAAATTCAGAGATCATTAGGTAAGTCTATACCAAATGTAAATGAAGGGAGAAGGATACAAATGATGTCTTGCCCATCTACAGTTTGGGATCATCTACATTTCCCCTATTAATAAAATTAGGAAAGGATCCTGTCAGAGTTTTCTTAAAATGAAGAATAAAAGTGCAATAAAAATATCATTGGGACAAATGTTTAAAAGAAAGCTCTATTTTTCAATGAACTATTATCTGGAGCAGAAGATACATAATAATTACTCTGTTTAAACCATTTTAAAAAACTTGATTTCATCAATGAAATTTGAGCTTTAAAAATGAATCATCATACCATGAAGTGCACTGCCATAAATAAAATCTATTCTCGAAACACTGTACAACACAGATGCATCTAAAGGACATTTTACTGAGGGAAGCTAGTGACAAAAGAACAAATACTGTATAAGACCATTATTATAAAAGGTTAAAAAAAAAGAAAGAAAAAAGCTAAAGAGAAGTTTATACACAGAATCATTCTTGGATGATTACCAGGAATAAGAAGTGAGGGAGAAGAAAGTAAAAATTACCAAATAGGTAACTGACATATATTTAAGATTAGGGCACTCTGGTGCCTTACCGATAAGGAGTTGTGCCTCCAAACCCAAAGGCACGTGGTTGGAATCTACCTTCAATAGCTTGCTGCTCTGAGAGAGAAAGATGGGCAATCTCCTCCCATGTGATCTACTGTCTCTGAAAACTGGCTGCAGGGTCGGTCGGCAGTGAGTCAGTTCTGACTCGGAGGTACATAATAAGACAGATGAGGGAAAAGGCAAAATATGATAAAGAGAAGACCAGCACAGTATCACTAAAGCAAGAGAAGACACAGAGGTATAGAAGGATTAAGTACAGGGAAGATGTGAGGAAAGTGTGATTTCCTTGTGGATATAGAAATTAATGCTATAGAGTAAAATGTGTATGAATGCTTGAATGAAAAAAACTAATGTACTCTGCAACTTTTTTTTAAGAAAGCTAGTGCTTTTAAGCTTCTGCTTAAAAGTAACAGTAAAACTCTTGTCATAACCATAATACCCAATCATATATTGAAGGTTGCGCAGCAGAGTGTACTCGGGGTGCAGTGGGAGATTCTATACCAACAAAATAATTTTTCTTTTACTTTTCAAAGAGAAGTGCGAACTAGGGGTGGGGAGGGAGAAAAATGCAATAATGAATGTATGGAAATCCAAAATCTCTGTAAACGTTCATTAAAATTAATTTTTAAAAAAAGTAACAGTAAAACTAGCCCAGACACTGATGCATGCTGTGGCATACAGTTGGTATACAGTGTATCTGTGTATAAACACTGAAAGTCAGACTTTTGGATATCTAATGATATGATATAATATACCACTTTACAAAAGATAATCTAATATATTTAGATGTATGATACATAGAACTCTGTTCAGACGTCTGCTGTTAATACTCTCAAACTAAAACACACAATTATATTATTCAGATTCTATCTGAACAAACCAAATAAAGCATATGCTTTACACATATCTTATGAGTCTTGATGACATCTTAGTCATCTAATTTTAAAATTATATGAGGCATAAACAATTGCAACACTCTCAAGTATTAAAAGAAAAGAAAAAAGTCAGTAACATCTGTAGTTTGTCATAAAATGATGGACTGTCTCCATGGTGAACAACCTTTCCACACAGCACAGGATAGGGATACTCACAAGTACAAATATATAACCTTATTAGGAAGAATTCAATAAGACATGATTATTTTCCACCTTAGTTCATTCTAACATAAACTTACGTTTACGATTTTATGGTTAATCGCCCACTCCAGTATAAAAGTGGGAAAAGATGGGCAATCTTCTTCCAGGCAATTTATAGCCTCTGAAAACCTGCTAGAGGGACAGCTATGAGTAACCGCTAACTTGATGGCATACAACTACAACCAGCATATAGTGGATTATACTTGCTTTTAATGGGACCACAAACCATTAATCTAGGTTTTTTTGACTACATAAGATTCAATCCAGTGTTTGAAACTCATTGGCGATCTACAACTTTTACCTGTGATTGGAATCTTTCTTGTCATACTTTCTTCCTTGCTCTCTTCTCTGTAGCCTGAAATGTCTAAAATTTAAACACATGATAACAAAAGTTGACAAGTTCTGTTTTTCTTTAAAAGCCATAATTTCTTTTACTTTCACTTCTTCGCTTCTCTTCTGCTTCTAACTCTGAGGTACCTATGTTATTTTAATGCAAAATAAATTAGTCTATCACATTTTAATGACATTTAAAATAAGCAAGCATCAAATCCTACACATGTGTATCAATTTCTGAATACATTCTAAGTAACTTATATGACCCTTGGAAATACCATTAGTCTTTACTGTCATGTTTAAAAATGCTAAAATAATTACAATTTTTAAAAGTTTATAAATTATGAATATATTCCTTTAAGTAGTAGAAAACATTTTATAGTACTTCTGCGGAATCACTGTCATCTTTGTAGGATGATAAAAACAATCATCAGCCAAGTGATTAGTTCGATTAAAATTTTATAACTTATCAAAATATTTTATTAGAGATTCATCAGAACTACAAAAGACTACACACAGGTTTCCTAACCCTTTTACACTAAACTAGATGATATACACTTCTTTGAATGTAATAAAAATAAGTAACAGATAATATACATTATAAGAAAAGCTATTCTCTGATCTTAATTTATAGATTATACTTTGAGAAACAATGTCATGGAGACTCTGAACGCATTTTTTGCTGTGGACAGACCTTCTAGCAACTGTTACCTTGTTCTCCTGTATGAACACTGTTGAGCCAGAGGCCGAGCTTTGCTTCTTTTATTCCACCATTGTCATTCAGAATAGATGGCAAGCTGCAAGATGATTCATTACTGTGAATAGATGACCTCTCCTCACATTCTTCTGTAAGAGCCTTTTTCAATAATGCAGTTGCCTACAGTGTTTAAGAGAAAGTACAAAGAAATAAAAATGAACTGTAGCTACATTCCGCTTGGCCTCAAAGATTCAGTCTTCAAACACAATTTAAGTTATGATTTACTTGAGATTTAATTTGCTTCCTGGATATTTAGCTGAAAATAAAGTGTCTTTAGTATGAATGAACATCTAACATCTTATTATTTCCCAATAAGACATATTTACAACTTATTTTGAGGACTGAATCTTAGGCAACGCAGATGTGTAGTACTGGCAAAGTATGCATAAGAGGCATGTTTTTCCTCCTCAATCTAGTTTGATTCATTCTCTTGTGTACATATAAAACTTAAAACCCCAGACTCCTTTTGTTGTTGAGTTCTATTTAGTTGGAACCAACCCATAGCTGACCCTCCAGCAGTTATTTGTGGAGATTGCCCATCCTTTTCACAAGGAGCAGCTGGTGGCCTCAAACTGCGTACCTTCAGGACTGCAATGCAGTTTCTTACCACCAAGCCACCAGAGCTCCTTCAGACCACCTTTCTTGAAAAATTATTTGCTTTTTCATGGTATTTATTGTTCTCTGTGCAAGTAAGACAAAATTGGTTTGATTGGAAAAACAGATCTAGAAAAATATTTCATGATGTCCCTAAGTGATCCTAAAACTTTCCTTAAAATGAATAAGACTGCAGAAGAACTGGGGTTAAAGAGGATGCACTAAACAAAAAGAGAACTGTTGTTTTAAATTAGAATCTCAATGAGGGCAGAGATGGTCTGCATTATGCTTCTAAGACATAAGCACCATAATTCAAAGGCATCAATTCTTCTTCTGTCATCCTTAGTCATTGTCCAGGTCTCTGATGCATAGCAAGTAATTACAAAGTCCATGGCCTGGATTAGGCACACCTTAGTCTCTGGACTGACATCGTTGCTTCTCAGTACTCTGGAGAGGTCCTTGACAGCATATTTTCCCAGTGCAATTTGTCTTTTGATTCCCTGACTGTTGGTGTTGACGGTGGAACTAAGCAAGCTGTAATTGCTACCAACCTCAATTTCTTCCTCATCCATCATGGATGGATGATGGCCAATTGGCCGAGTGGTGACAATCTTTGTCTTCTTGATTTTGAGTTTCAATCCATATTGAAGACTACAGTCCTTGACCTTCTACAGCAAGTACTTCACGTCTTCTTCAGTTTCAGCAAACAAAGTTGTGTCAACCACATAATGTAGATTCTTGATGAGTCTTCCTCCAAACACATGTTCAAAGTTTGTGACAGAAAGCTTCACAATCTTTACATGAATGGAACATATTGGCTATACATCTTTCTTTTTTAAAAAAAATTTATTATTAATTTCAATGAAAATTTGTAGAGACTTTGGATTTCTATTCATTCATTCTTTGTTGCACTTTTTGCCCCTTCCCAGCCTCCTCCCTAGTACACTACCCTTTTGGAAAAGTAAAATAAAAATTATTTCATTGTTTACAATCCTTTCCCCCAGGTCCACTCCACTATATGGCCTTCACTCTGGACTCCTGTCATGACAAAAATACCTAATAACATATCCCTTTTAAACAGTTTTCTCCCTCATCTGTTTCAATGCAGTATACATTATTGAACTCATCTTTCTCAGTCTCCCCCCAACCCCGAGGTCAGTCCTGTTTTACAACAGTGGCACCATGCAGTATTTGTCCTTTTGTGACTGAGATACTTCACTCAGCATAATGTCCTCCAGGGTCACCCACTTTGAAGAATATTGCATGAGTTCCTTGTTTTTCAAGGCAGTGTAGTATTCCATTGTGTGACTATACCACAGCTTCTCTATCCATTCATTTGTTGATGGGCACTTAGGTTGTTTCCAACTTTCTGCTGTTGTGAACAAAGACACAATAAACATGGGTGTGCATATATCTGCTTGTATGTCAGTTATGGTCTCTTTGGGGTATATTTCCAGTAGGGGAATTGTTGGGTCGAATATTATCTCTATTTGCAACTTTTTGAGACAGTGCCATACCACCTTACACAGTGGTTGCACCATTTTATACTCCCACTAACAGTGTATAAGTGTTCCAGTTTCTCTACAACCTCGCCAACATTCTTACTGGGGTGAGATAATATCTTATCGTTGTCTTGATTTACATCTCTCTTAGAGCTAGGGATTTTGAACATTTCTTCATGTGCTTGTTAGCCATCTGAATGTCTTCCTTGGTGAAGTGTATGTTCATATACTGTGCCCAATTTTCTATTAGATTATTTACCTTTATCTTGTTGTGGTGCTCAAGTATTTTAGAAATTCTAGATGTAAGTCCCTTATCTGATATGGCATTACCAAATACTTTTTCCCAGTCTGTGGCTTCCCTTTTTACCCTGTTGGAGAAGTTATTGGATGTGAATAAGGATTTGATTCTTAGAAAGTCCTATTCATCTATTTTACCTTCTCCTGGTTGTAGGTCAGCTGTACAACTTTGTAAATTTGTTCATTGTTTTGGTGGTCCATTGTATAGTTAATATTCTTATTTAACATTTCCAATTCTTCTTCAATCTTGCTTTTTAATTGCCCACCTTTTACATGCATATGAGGTGACTGAAAATACATTGAGATTGGCCAAGAGCACCTTAAACTTCAAAGTGACATCTCTGACTTTTGAAGAGTTCTGTGCAGTACATTTACCCAGTGCAATATGCTATTTATGTCTTGACTACTGCTCAGGGGTATATTTAAGGTATGGTAGGCCTGGCTTATATTCTGGACACCACTCGTATGGGTGCCACTGAGTACTTTCTATTATTTTGCCTTGCCTATTGTTCCACAGTGGACACCTAGATGGGCAGTAAGATGAAGTGGGCAGAGTAAAGCACTTGCACATATGCAAGTCTGACATGGCATAGAACAACATTTGGAGCCACCATAAATATGAAAGATGCCTGATTGAGGCAGTTAGAAAAGAAGGGAAATGCATTTCTGTTATCACATCCCCACTAACAGTGTCTATTCATCTTGAAATCTCAGGGGTTAGAGAAAACAAGTGCAACTTGTGGGGAAGAAGGCTTTTGCAATTTGGAGATTGCCATGGGTGCTCATTATTCTCCTGCATCCCTGCTGCTGCTTCCATGGATGACAATTGTAAAATTAAATCCTTGACAACTGTAATTTTTTTCTCTGTTTATTATGATGTTGCTTGGTTCAACTGTAAGGAGTTTACTTCATGGTGAAGTGTAACCCATACTGAAGGTTTTTAGTTATTTACTATGGAATTGGAACTGACTTATAGCTATGCGTCTAACACTTTCTCAGAGGCAGTAAATCACATGGGAGGAGACTGTCCATCTTTCTCCCACAGAGTGGCTGGAGGATTCAAACCATGCACTTTTGTGTTCGCTGCATAACTCTTTACCTAATCCACCAGAGCTGCCAGAGGTTTGTTTTTTGTTTTGTTTTTTTTTAATTTATACTACAATGAAATGTGGGAGGAGCTAGAGTTGGAAAATCAAAAGGGCCGAACTCGTTCAGCATTTCTTAAGCTCAAGGAACTGAAGAGCAAATTCAAACCTCGAGTTGCTACAATCAAGGATGCTTTAGGCAGAATGTTAAATGATCCAGGAGGTATCAAAAGAAGATGGAAGGAATATACTGAGTCATTGTACCGAAAG